TGTTTTGGACATTTTATATAAATGGAATCATATAATATGTGGCCTTTGTGACTGGGTTTTTTCATGTTTTTAAGGATTGTCCATATTTTAGCATGAATCAGTACTTCATTCCTTTTTGTGGTTAAATAATATTCCATTACATGGATATACACACAATGACGCCACAGCACTCTACCGAGGGCCAGTAATTTATCCATTCATCAGTTGATGGAAATTCAAGTTGTCACTTTTTGACTATTACAAATAATACTTCTCTGAACTTTAGTATACACATTTTTATGTGATGTAATTATTGTTAAACACAAAAACTTTTCAGAAAACCTTAAAAATCAGGATCAGTAAACTCCTACCACTTATTGGAGTCATATTCATTTTTTTTTTTTAATTGAGGCAGTCTCACTTTGTCACACTTGGTAGAGTGCCGTGGCGTCATAGCACACAGCAACCTGAAACTCCTGGGCTCAAGCGGTTCTCTTGCCTCAGCCTCCCTAGTAGCTGGGACTACATTACCTGCCACAGTGCTGAGCTATTTTTTTTGTTTGTTTGTTTAGCAGGCCCAGGCTGAGTTCGAACCCACCAGTCTTTGAGCATGTGGCCAGCATCCTAACCACTGAGCTACAGACACCCAGCCCATATTCATTTTTATTTATTTATTTATTTTATTGAGACAGAGTCTCACTTTGTTGCCCTTGGTAGAGTGCTATGACGTCACAGCTCACAGCAACCTCAAACTCTTGGGCTCAAGTGATTCTCTTGCCTCAGCCTCTCAAGTACCTGGGACTACAGGCACTCGCTATAGCAACCCACTATTTTTTTGTTTTAGCAAGCCCAAGCTGGGTATGAACCCACCAGCCCTGGTACATGTGGCTGGTGCCCCACACACTGAGTTACAGGCACCACCCCTCGTATTCATTTTTTATATTACCTTTTATATATATGTATTATATAGTTGACCCTTGAACAGCATAGATTTTTAACTGCATGGATCAATTTATATGCAGATTTTTTCAAACAAATTTGTACCAAAAATGCTGTATTCACAGAACTTACCCCTGGAGAGGGGCCAACTTTTTATGTATGCAGGTTCTGAGGGACTTGAGTATGCATAGATTTTTTTTTTTTAAAGGCAGAGTCTCACTTTGTCGCCCTTGGTAGAGTGCTGTGGCGTCACAGCTCACAGCAACCTCCACCTCTTGAGCTTAGGTGATTCTCTTGCCTCAGCCTCCCAAGTAGCTGGGACTACAGGCGCCCGCCACAACATCCAATATTTTTTGTTGGCAGTTTGACCGGGGCCAGGTTCAAACCTGCCACCGTTGGTATATGGGGCCAACGCCCTACTCACTGAGCCACAGGCACCGCCCAAGTACACACAGATTTTAATACACATGGGGATACTGGAACCAGTCAGTCCCCTGTGTATACCAAAGGACAACTGTATATACATTTTAAGTGGTTGAAGTCATATACTGACTTTATACTGATGACTCTGCTTTTCTTCTATTCTCTTTCAACCTACTGGCTATTTTTGGAGATACAGTCTCGCTCTAGCACAGGCTGGTCTTGAACCTGTGAGTTCAGGCAATCCAACCACCTCGACCTCCCAAAATGCTAGAATTACAAGCATGAGCCACTGTGCCCATCTAATTCTTTGTCCTTATATTGCTTCATACTGGTGATCATTCCCTCCTTGTCTTAATCTGTTTTGTGTTGCCACAGGACAGGTAATTTACAAAGAACAGAATTTTATTTCTCATGGTTCTAGAGGCTGGGATATCTAAAATTAAGGCACTGGTATTTGGTCTGGTTGACGGGCTTCTTGCTGCATCTTTACATGGTAGAAGTTCAAGGGAACCAGCTCCTTCCATCAGCCCCTTTATAAGGGCACCTAATCCCATTCACAAGGGAGGAACCTTTGTCACTTAGTCACTTTGGCAACACCTGATTTTGGAGAGGACCTATTCAAACCATAGCATGCCTCCTATAGACTCTTCTTTTTGTTCCCACAGTGCTGCATGCTGTGAGTTTCTTTTTTTTTAATCACCATCCCTCAAATTTTATTCCCTGCCTCTTTTTTCTGCCTTATCTCTCAGTGTTGGAGTGTTTTAGGATATGGTCCTAGACCCCTTACTCTGCATTCTCTCCTTGGTGATGACATATGCTGATGACTCCCAGATTTGCATCTCCAGTTCTGACTTCTGTGAACTCCATACTCAATGTGAGAAAGTTGCCTGCTTGACATCTCTGCTTAGGAGTTTAACACGCATCCCAGCTTCACATGCCAAAGCAGATTTCTTGATTTCTAACCCTGAAGTCCATCTTCCCAGTCAAATGTCATATTGGTTGATGGGCCTTCACAGTTGCTCAAGTCAAAGGCTTTGGAGACATCACTGATTCTCTCTTTGCATTATCTGTCTCTGTTCCTCCAAATTGTATCCAGAATTACTTCACATCATCTCAACGCTTTTAGTCCAAGGTAACATTTCTCACTTGGACAACTGTAATAGCTTCTACCCATAACCATCTGTAATTCATTCTTCACATAGTAGGCAATTGAGTTCTTTAAACACCTAAGTCAGGCTCAGTGCCTGTAGCTTAAGGGGCTAGGGTGCCAGCCACATACATCAGAGCTGGTGGGTTCAAATCCAGACCAAGCCAAACAACAGTGACAACTACAACCAAAAAATAGCAGGGCATTGTGGAGGCGCCTGTAATCCCAGCTACTTGGGAGGCTGAGGCAAGAGAATCACTTAAGGCCAGGAGTTGGAGGTTGCTGTGAGCTGTGATGCTACAGCACTCTACCCAGGACAACACAGTGAGACTCTGTCTCAAAAAAAAGAAAAACTTAAGTCAGATCATGTCCTTCCCCTACTCAAGGCTCTCCTGTGGCTAACCATTACACTAAAAAAACAGAATCCAGGCTGGGCACGGTGGTTCACACCTATAATCCTAGTTCTCTGAGAAGCCAAGGCCAGAGGATCAATACTAGCCTAAGCAAGAGCAAGACCCCATCTCTACTAACAATAGAAAAACTAGCTGGGTGTTGTGGGCACCTGTAGCCCCAGCTACTTGAGAGGCTGAGCCAGGTTGCTATGAGCTAGGTTGATGCCACAGTACTCTACCCATGGCTACAAAGTGAGAGTCTGTCTCCAAAACAAACAAATCCATACAAAATCCAGAGTCTGCCATGGCTAGAAGGCCCTCCACAGCCTAGTTCCTACCTACCTTTCCAATGTTACCTGCTGCTTACAGAGGTTCTACAGTATTTTTTCCCTCATTTTCCAAAAAAGTGTTCCTAGTTATTACTGATAGCTTTCAGTGGCACCTCCTCACAGAGGAAAAATAGTCCTCAGGAGCTCAGAGGCCACTTTAAATAGTAGTGTTTTTTACTTTCCCTGCTTACATCTTCCATGTACCCTGGCAGATGTCTTCAGAAAACCACCTATGGAGGAGTAGGAATGCTGCTTTGTTGTCAGAATAAAATAAGAAACTGGACAGGAGAGTAGGTCATGAAGGGCCATATCCCTCTGATCTGTATCAAGAGGCCACAAGAAATGGACAGAACCTTTTCTGCAACCCCAGCCCTGCCACATACATGTGGGTACACACAGGAATTTGTACTGACAGTCTGACCTTTGCTTTGTGAACAAAATTCACTTTATAAGAAATTGTAGGATTGGCAAACTAGGGAGTATATACATTTAGTTTTTTAAAATTTCCTTCTAGATGGGTGGTGCCTGTGGCTCAGTGAGTAGGGCACCGGCCCCATATATTGAGGGTGGCAGGTTCAAACCCGGCCCCGGCCAAACTGCAACCAAAAAATAGCCGGGTGTTGTGGCAGGTGCCTGTAGTCCCAACTGCTCTGGAGGCTGAGGCAGGAGAATCACCTTAGCCCAGGAGCTGGAGGTTGCTGTGAGCTATGACGCCACTGTACTTACTCTACCGAGGGCAAGAAAATGAGATTCTGTCTCTTAAAAAAAAAAAAAAAAAACTAAAAAATTCCCCTCCAGAACACCTCAAAGGTGCTTGACTCTAACCTGTTTTTAAAACTTTATGCCTCTGAATGCTCCTGTGACAACAGAGGACAGCCAGGGTGACCTGGCAACTCCCTCGGCTGCCCCTGCCAGTTCCCAGATGGCTGCTTTCAGGAAAGTTTTCATAGCAACCAAAGGCAGGAAAAACCTGCCCACCCAGCTTAGCAGTATCACATCCGGCTTGGCTCCTCAGCTCATGGGAGAAGTGGGGTGTACACACATACATATGCATGCACACATGCATGTAGATCGAATTGCATTGCAAAGCTGACCCTTGCAGACTCCTTAAAATATATCCAGTCTCTAACCATTTTTCAGTGTTCCCACTGTAGCCATGCCATCGTCTTTTACCTTAACTAGTGTAAGAGCCTCCTCTGTGTCCACTGCCTCTCCTAAACAGGTTGGCCAGAGAAAGCTCAGAACTTCCCCCCAATTTTCCAGACCAATGAGAATGAAGCCCAGAGTCCCCCACTGCACTGTGAGACATCCAAGGCCCCTTGCTGGGTCTCCTTTTCCTACCCTCCTCACTCCCCATGGTCTCTAGCCTGCTGGCCACCTTGCCTACAGGCTTCAGCCTGCCGAGGATACTCCTTACTTGGCCAGGCCTTCTCTCTGGGTCCCCTTTTCCTCAGACAGCCACAGAATGGTGAGCCCCCACTTCTTTCTATCTTTGCTCAGCTTTCACCTTATTCTGAAAGAGACATTAACAGCCCTTTTCTTCTGACACTCTCCATACCTTCACGTTGCTTTATTTTTCTCATAACTGTAATTATCACACCCCATTCTTATGTTTACTGTAAGATCTTCCACTATAACATAAGGGCTGGGAACGTTTCTTCACTGTTGTATGCCAGCAAGTAGGAGTGTGGGGCCTCCCAGTGGCTGACTGAGTGCATAAGTGGGAGGGGAGCCAGAGTCAGGAAAGGGAGCTGCAGGTGAGAATTGCTTTCCTTCACTCTTGTCTTCCAGAAGAAACAACCAGACTACTACCTCTGGGTGACTGGTGATGAGAAGACCTCATGAGCTCAACTGGGATGTTACACCAAACCACATAAAATTGTTTTTGTAGGTTGTAATGGATGAGTATCAGCAGTTTCATATGGTTCTGCGTAATAGCTTTGAGTATAACTCAGTGTAGAAAGCCCAGATATTAACAGTAACTTGTAGGAATCATTAGAACTACTGATGGTTAGTGAGTGCTCACTGTGTCACACAGTGAGCTGTGGGCCTCGTGCACTGTCTCACTTAGTCCTTAGAACTGCAGTAAGACATAGGTAATGCTCTCCATTTTATGGATACCAAAACGAAAACCGATACAAGTGAAGTAAACTTAACTTCGGTCATAACAAGTGGGAAGTAACAGCCGGGATTTGAGTGCAGATCTGTCTGGAGATTTCTTCTCTTTAATCACGATGTAGAGGGTGTATACAAAAGCCGCTCTCCCCATGGCTGACTCACGGTCATTCCTCCCCAGCCTAGCAATGTCCCAGCTGTGTTCCTGTTGAAGTGCAAGTGGGTAATAATAGGTCCTTTCTCGTTTTAATAGGAGCAGTTGTTTAAAACTAGGAAGTTAGAAAGTTAGAGGAAGCCATGACTACTGACTCCCCAGTTGATGTTTTTTACCTTTTTAAAATAGAGATACAATACACATACCATAAAATTCACCATTTTTAAGTGTACTAGTTAGTGGTTTTAGTATATTCACTATGTTCTACAACTATCTCCACCATCCAATTCCATAACATTTCATCACCCCAGGAGAAACCTGTTGACAGTCACTCCTCGTTCCTCCTTCCCTTCAGCCCCTGGCAACCATTGATCTACTTTCTGTCCATATGAATTTTCCTTTTCTGGACATTTCAGTTATGCACTCATACAATATTCATCCTTTTGTGTCTAGCCTCTTTCACTTAACGTAATCTTTTCTGTGTCCATCCACATAATGTGTATCAGTACTTCATTCCTTTTTATGGCTGAGTATTTCATTGTATGGGTATTTCACATATTTTTTATGTATCCATTCATCAGTTGACAGACATCTGAGTTGTTTTTACTTTTTGGCTATAATTATTAATGCTGCAGTGAACATTCATGTGCAAGTTTTTGTGTGTACATAGGAGCGGAATTGCCAAGTCACATGGTAACTCAGTGTTTAACCATCTAAGGAATTGCCAGGCTGTTCTCTATAGCGGTTGTACTGTTTTCCATTCCTGGCAGCAATACCTGAGGACTCTAGTTTTTTTTTTATTTATGTATTTGAGGCAGAGTTTCACTATGTCGCCCTCGGTAGAGTGCTATGACGTTACAGCTCACAGCAACCTGCAACTCTTGGGCTCAATTGAGTCTCTTGCCTCAGCCTCCCAAGTAGCTGGGATCACAAGCGCCTGCCACAATGTTTGTCTATTTTTTTGTTGTTGTTGCAGTTGTCATTGTTTAGCAGGCCCCGGCCAGGTTTGAACCCACCAGCCATGGTGTTATGTGGTGGCACCCTAACCACTGAGCTACAGGTGCCACTCAGGTGGGTTTTTTGTTTTTCTAATTTTAGAAACAGGGTCTTTGTGTATGTGAGAGAAAGACAGAGTCTTACTTTGTCGTCTTCGGTAGAATGCTGTGGCATCGTAGCTCACAGCAACCTCAAACTCTTGGGCTCAAGCAATTCTCTTGCCTCAGCCTCCCAGAGTGCTAGGATTACAGGCGTGAGTCATTGTGCCTGGCCAGGGTATTACTCTTAGCCTGGTCTTGAACCCCTGAGCTTAGGCAATCCATCCACCTTGGCTTCCCAGAGTGCTGAGATTACAGGTGTGAGCCACTGTGCCTGGCCCTTTTGCTCATTTTTAAGTTGGGCTATTTTTCATTTTATTGTTGAATATTGTTTAATAGGACAAAAAAAGAAGGAAGGAGTGTGCAGATAGATGTTTGAACAGAGACAGGAGAGACTTAAATTCTAAGCAATCTAAGCACTTTCTTAATTGCCTAGCTGTGAGGCAGAGCAGAACAGACTGCTGGCATGAAAAGCAGGAGCAGAGGAGAACGGGAAGTGTCCACTCAGGCACAGTCGTGTGCTAGCTGAGTGATGCCTCTGTGACTTTGGTTCAGGGATACCTATTCACAGAAGTTTCATTTCCTTTATCTTTTTTGTGAATCCTTATCTTGGAACAGGGCATCAAGGAGTCTGCATGTGAATCTCTTTTTGAGTAGACACTTCCCTGTGATTTACAGAGTAGTTGAAAATGTCAGTTATGTAGCTTCTTCAAAGCATATCCTCTCTTAGACAAAATATTCAGAATGGTAGCCTTTTTCTTTCAAATCCTGTGCCCACTCTGTTTTTTGTCCTTAAAAAATAGGGACTTAATAAAAAGACAATTAAAAAATGGGCAAAGTGTGACTTTTCTCTTCCCTTTAGAACAGTGGCCAGGACTTGACTCCCCATTGCCTCTGGGCTTATAAGGTCAGAGGGTACGTGGAAGGGACCCACCTTTGCAGTAGAGGGGTGCTAGAATGACCTTCCCTTTGCTCTCTTAACAGGGCAGATGTTTCTGAACCAAATGAAGCTCGAGGAGCCTTCCAGCTCTAAGATAGCAGGATAGTGAACTTCTAAGTCCGGAGCTGCAGAAGACTTGCCGTGCCTCCCAGCACAATGTCAGGTGGAAGCAGAGAATGGACTTGGAAATGGGGTACTAGGCTCTGCAGAGGAGCCAGATGAATGGGAGCTAGCTTGTTTGTTTTCCATAAAATACCATCCAGGTCATAAGGGTGGAGGAGGGGGATGCAAGGCTGCTAACTACCTGAGAACGTTACCATAGCTCTTGTCAGCTCAGCTCTCCAGTTTCCTTCTGGCCACCCTCCAGCCTACAAGGCCTCCTTCCTATTAGGTGGAAGAAGAGGCAAGAAGATGAAGTTTGGTTATGTTTTTATGACCTGTAGTTTCTTTTTTCCTCCTTTCTCAGAAATGTGCTCATTTCTAGGAAGTTCCTTTCACTCTGACCCTTTCTCCCCTTGAGATGGCCCAGTCTCTTTAAGGCTGGTGGGTGCTCCTGAAGGGAGAGGGGATCTCCTGACTTGAATTTTGCCTCTGCATTTTCCTGCTTGTTCTCCTATTCCTGATCCTCTTTGGTTTTAGGAAGCCACACACCTGCCAATGGCCCCTTCTCAGCCCTGACTCCAAGCATATGGCCCCAGGAGATTCTGGCCAAGCACTTGCAGGTATAGCAATTAGTCCAGGCAGGCACTTCTTAAGGGGACCCACTTCTGCAGGCTTCCCAGGAGTGGGTGGCCGACTTACCCAAGATCATGGGGTCACCACCCGAGATGGATCTTACCTCTGCATGCCTGTGTCAATCTGTCCTGTGTTGGATGACAAGTTTATGACTTTTCTCTCAGTATTGTGGGGACACAAAAGTACATAAAACATGTTTCTTGTCTCAATCTGATTATCTTTGACCTGGGAAGAGCTAGGAAAATGCTAGGAGAATTCAGAGAAGGTAGTGAATACCTGTAGTTGTGTGATGGCCAGAGAAGATTTTATTGAATGGTGGCCTTTTCTCTGAGTCTTGAAGGCTAGGTGGAATTTTAGCAGACAACCATGTGGGTGGCATCTTCCAGAGCCTGTGTTCTCAGTGAGAGGATAGAAAACTGATTTTCTTCCTAATCCTGGTTCTAGAAGGAGGAGTCAGCAGAACAACCAGAGTTCTACTATGATGAGTTCGGTTTCCGTGTGGACAAGGAAGGTAAAATGAAGCCCCTCATGTGTAATCTTGCTGATAATCTTGAAGAGGACTCTGGCTCCAATGGCTCAGATTACATAGTACACGACCTCACAGTTCTGGATGTCTCAGCCAGACCATATTTAAAGATAGAGGCAATCTGAGGCTGAGGATCTTATAAGTACAAGGAGACCTCTGATTATTATTATTATTTTTTTTTAGACACAGAGTCTCACACAGAGTATCACTTTATCGCCCTCGGTAGAGCGCTGTGGCATCACAGCTCACAGCAACCTCCACCTCCTGGGCTTAGGTGATTCTCTTGCCTCAGCCTTCCGAGTAGCTGGGACTATAGGCGCCTGCCACAACGCCCAGCTATTTTTTGTTGTTGTTGTTGCAGTTTGGTTGGGGCTGGGTTCAAAACTGCCACCCTTGGTATATGGGGCCAGCACCCTACTCACTGAGCTACAGGCGCAACCCCTCTGATTATTTTTGAGGTAAATTTTATTGATGTTTGCCTGATAATAAAAGCAATAGAGAAGGTAAAAAATTCAGAAAAGTATGAAGATTAAAACATTGTCCTCTAAACTTAAAGATAACTTCTGATATTCCTTTCCTGGCTTTGTGTGTATATTTATAGATAATGTCTTAACATTATACCATCAGCATTTTGCTATGTCAGTTAAGACCTCTTTAAAATCATATTTCCATGGCTGCATAATACCCCATTATGATGGATTTATTTATAATTTTTTTGTTTGTTTGTTTTGCAATTTCTGGCTGGGGCTGGGTTTGAACCCACTACCTCTGGCATATGGGCCCAGCGCCCTACTCTTTTGAGCCACAGGTGCCACCCCTATTTATAATATTTTTATAACTATTTTTCTGTAAATGGGCCTCTAGGCCATATCCTATTTTTTTATGCTATAATTGGACGTACGGGTTCTGAGTAGACTGCTGTAAAGGCTGCTACTAGCGCCCAGGATGGCCTGTCACTGGGTGGGAACTGTGGCAAAAACATTTTAATTGGCTGAAACTAATCTTCATGTTACTCATATTTCCAATTATGATAGAAGTTTTCCTTGTTCTTCTCATTTTCAGGCAGATATTTGGAGGTTAAAAGATGGAACTGAAAGGGACACAGGGAACTTTCCAGTACATTGGAAATGTTCTATGTCTTGACGGGTCTCTGGATTCATGGTCCAGAATGCTCACCGTTAGACCATGGAACTACTGTATCTTTTTTCTTTACTTTTTGAGAGTCATTCTTTTAACCTGGGTCGAGTGTCATGGCGTCATTGTAGCTCACAGCAACCTTAAACTCTTGGCCTCAAGCAAACCTCTCGCCTCAGCCTCCTGGGAGTAGCTGGGACTACAGGTGCCTGCCACCATGCCCAGCTAATTTTTCTATTTTTGGTAGAGATGAGATCTCACACTTACTCAAGCTGGTATCAAACTTCTGAGCTCAAGCAATCTACCTGCCTCAGCCTCCCAGAGTGCTAGGATTATACATGTGAGCTACCACACATGACCTTATAGTTGATATTTTTAAAGGCTTGACTGAGGGATTGGCTGTAGGATGACTAGGGATGAGGCTGTCTGTGGAGCTTGCCCCCACATTGAGTGCAGGGTTGCCAATGTACTGGGTCATTCAACTAAGATTTCATGAAGCCGACTATGGGTCATACGGTTTTCACTGCTGTATCCTCAGTGCCTTGAACAAAACTAAAGATGGTCTGTACCATAGAGTTCTCATTCTCATGTAGGAGACAGGCAGTAAGCAAACAAATATATGCTGGGGACAAGAAGAGCTATGAAAAAAATACTGAAGCTAGAGAAGAGGGGAGGTGAATCTTATGTAAGTTGGTCAGGGAAGGCTTCTCAGGAGATGGCGTGAATAGAGACTGAATTTGGTGAGGGAGTTAAGTGTCACTGGGAAAGGGGAACTGAGATGCAGAGGCTCTGAGGTGAGGGTGGATTTGGAGGGAAGAATAAGAGGGACCTGTCAGTGGAGCAGGAGGAAGGCAGCTGGAGGTGACGTTGAGAGGGCAAGGCTGAGAGGAGGCAGGTCATAGGCGCTGGCAGACCCTCAGCTTTGAGTCTGAATGAGCTGCGCACTGCTAGCAGATTCTGAACGGTAACATGATCTGACTTACATTTTGGAAGGGTCACTGTGACTGCTATGGAGAACAGCCTTTGGGAAGTGAGGTGCTAGCAGGGAGGCCACTGTGGTGATCCAGAGGATGGTGGCTGAGATAAGGGCAGTGGTCAGGGTGATGAGAGGTGGAAGACCCCTGCACATTTGCTGCTGGATTGAACATGGGGTCAAGGCAAAAAGGAGCTGAAGGGGACACCAAGGTATAGGCCTGAGTATCTACAGGGTGGAAGTGTCATTTCTGGATCTGGGGAAGAGGGTAAGGGGAGACTGTCTTTCTGTGTGGGAGAAAGCGAAGAGCTCAGGTTTGCTCATCCTAGGAATGCCTGTCCAGTGCACACCTGGAGCTGTCAGGAAGCCACTGGCCATGAGAGTCTAGTTTTCAGGGGAGAGATCTGGCCTAGAGGCATAAGCCTGTTTTCCTCTCTGCTCACTGCTGCTCTGTCCTTGGACTTTTCACTGGTAGAAGTTGCTGAGCCTGGCTCACATCTGCTGGCAAGCAGTCCTTTGACGGAGGACCCTCCGCAGAGGCTACGGTGGCAGGCCCACCTGGAGTTCACCCACAACCACGACGTGGGGGATCTCACCTGGGACAAGATTGCAGTCTCCCTGCCCCGCTCTGAGAAGCTCCGCTCCCTTGTGTTGGCCGGCATCCCACATGGCATGAGGCCACAGGTGAGAAGGCCACAGGGACCCACAGAGGCAAGAGAGGGTCATGGCCCAATGATGAAGTGTCACAAGAAAGCCTCATGTGGCCTTTCCTTCAGTTGTGGATGAGGCTTTCTGGGGCCCTGCAGAAGAAGAGGAACTCCGAGCTGTCATACCGCGAGATCGTGAAGAACAGCTCCAACGACGAGACCATTGCTGCCAAACAGGTGAGGCTGTGTGTGGGCCCCAGGAGGGAGGTGGTCTTTCTGAGGTTCTGGGAAGATCCCCTTGGCAGGGGCGGCAGCTCTTTGACCCACAGATATGTGCCTTGAGGAAACCTGCTCCCTCCTGGGTCTTCTGTTAAGTCATGGGAGAACTATCTAAAAGGCCACCAGTGCTGTGGAAGGACGTGGAGGAGATGAGTTCACAAGCCGGTTTCTGCTTTAGGAACAGCTGGGGATTCTACATTAGACTCCAGGCCTCATGCCTGACTTTCTCATTCTAAGGCCTGGACTGAAGTTGATGTACTCTCCTCTCACTAGCTGGGACCTGACCCGGAAGGGAGCGAGGGAGGGTATCATTGATGGGGAGTGTGAGCATCCCCATCACTGGGAGAGAAGCCTGCCTGGGGTTGGCCCCTCCCACAGGGCATCACAGGGTCTTGTTGTTGTGGGTGTTGGTGCGGCCACCTGACAGATAGAGAAGGACCTGTTACGCACAATGCCCAGCAATGCCTGCTTCGCCAACGTGACCAGCATCGGGGTGCCCCGCCTGCGCAGGGTCCTCAGAGCACTGGCCTGGCTCTACCCAGAGATCGGCTACTGCCAGGGCACGGGCATGGTGAGCACAGCCCCAGCGAGGGTGGCGAGTGTCCCCAAGGTCCACTCCAGGCCCCTGGAGGGGAGTGATTCTACCCTCAGGGCAGTGGAGTGGGAGGTGAGGGTGGACGTGGGTATCCCCCAGGAGGGCAGGGCAGCTGTATATGTTGTTCAAGCAGAATGGGCCCCTGGGGGAAGGCACATACCCTGCAGAGCACATCCCCTAGGTGGAGGCCTTTGTTACCCTGCCCTGGCCAGGTGGCTGCCTGCCTTCTGCTATTCCTGGAGGAGGAGGACGCCTTCTGGATGATGTGTGCCATCATCGAGGACCTGCTCCCTGCCTCCTACTTCAGCACTACCTTGCTGGGTGTCCAGACTGACCAGCGGGTCCTGCGCCACCTCATTGTCCAGTACCTGCCTCGCTTGGACAAGCTGCTTCAGGAACACGACATAGGTAAGGCCTAGCAATCACCCAGGGTTTTTGGAGTCGGTGGCTCTCAGTCCTGGTGACACACCTGGCAGGGGCAGGTGGGCAGCCATGGATACAGGCACACACGGTCTTCGTTCCTCTCCTGCTGTCTCCTCTTTGAGCAGGCAAGGCCTCTTCCCTCTCTTCAGGAGGCATCCTCCACCACCCTCCAGGCTGCCCTGTGGCCAGGCTGTCCCTGGCCGCAGCACAATGACTGGTGTCTGTTCACAGAGCTGTCCCTGATCACGCTGCACTGGTTCCTCACAGCCTTCGCCAGCGTGGTGCACATCAAGCTGCTGCTGCGCATCTGGGACTTGTTCTTCTACGAGGGCTCCCTGGTGCTGTTCCAGGTCACCCTGGGCATGCTGTGCCTCAAGGTGCTTGCTGAGCCCCTGCTGTCCCCGCCATGGCTGTGTCATCCAGCTTTCAGGCTGAGGAACAGGAACGCCCACGTAGGGCAGGCAGGGGAGCTCCCTGGGCCAGGCAGGATTAGCCTGATGGCCACGCCAAGGAGGCACAGGTCTTTAGGGTGGAGACTGGGGTCATCTCAGTGCCAGATGCCTGGCAGTGACGTCCCCTCCCCTGTTCTGCCCTGGTGTGGCCCAGGAGGAGGAGCTGATCCAATCAGAGAACTCGGCCTCTATCTTTAATACGCTGTCAGATATCCCATCGCAGATTGAGGATGCGGAGCTGCTGTTGGGGGCAGCCATGCGGCTAGCTAGCTCCCTCACTGATGTGGCTGTAGAGACCCAGCGCCGCAAACACCTGGCCTACCTCATTGCAGACCAGGGCCAGCTCCTGGGGGCTAGCACCACTACCAGCCTCTCTCAGGTGGGTCTGGGGGAGAGACCCCGCCTCAGCCCATGGGGAGGTGGAGAGTACCCTGAGGAAGTTCATGGAAAGAGGCCACAGCCAGTTGTGTGCCCTGCACCCTAGCTGTCCTGCATCCCAGCACCTGAAGCCAAGCATAGCCCAGTCAGACCACAGCGGTGAGGCCACCCAGTCCTCAGGCTTCTCTAGGTTCTGCCCCTAGCATGGCTGATTATATTTTTGGTCCTCACAACTACCCTCAGGCTATTTCAGAAGAGACAGCATGGGGCGGGCGGTTTGAGAGTCTGGGGCTGCTGCTGACATGCTCTCCTCGAGTGCCATGGCATCACAGCTCAAAGAACCCTCAAACTCTTGGGCTTAAGTGATTCTCTTGCCTCAGCCTCCCAAAGTAGCTGGGACTATAGGCACCTACCACAACACCTGGCTGTTTTTCTGTTGAAGTTGTCATTGTTGCTTAGCTGGCCTAGACTTGGTTGGAACCCACCAGCCTCAGTGTATGTGGCTGACACTAACTACTGTGCTATGGGCAACGAGCCAACATGCTCTCCTCTTGCAGGTTGTTCGCCGCAGGGCCCAGCGGAGGAAGTCTACCATTGCCACCCTGCTTTTTGGTGAGAACCTGCTGTGGGTGCTGAGTGGGCAGGCAGCATAGATGGGGCAGTCCGTCTTGACACTGGTGTGGGCCTAGAGGTTCCGAAGGCCTGAGGAGGGTGATCACCATTGCTCTTTGGGTCTCCTAGGGGAAGACGACCTAGAAGCACTTAAGGCCAAGAACATCAAGCAGACAGAGCTGGTGGCAGACCTCCGGGAAGCCATACTTCGCGTGGCACGCCACTTCCAGTGCACAGACCCCAAAAATTGCGGTGTGGTAAGTCACAGAGCCCAGCCTCTCCAGAGGGGTGGAATGGCCCTACTCAATTCGACTCATGGTGCTGAGGCTTTTCCCCCGCACGGTTCACTCTGGCAGGAGCTAACCCCGGATTACAGCATGGAGAGCCACCAGCGGGACCATGAAAACTATGTGGCGTGTTCACGCAGCCACCGGCGTCGGGCCAAGGCCCTGCTGGACTTTGAGCGTCACGATGACGACGAGCTGGGCTTCCGCAAGAATGACATCATCACGGTGTGTAGGAGGTCCAGCACCTGCTCCTGCGGCAGTGGCTAGTTACCCTACCCCTGACAGCTGAGCACTCATGCTCTGCAAAATGTGGCGGCTCTGGGGGTTGTGTGTGAGGCCCTGGCCTGAGCATGCAACTCTGGTTCCTAATGTTTTTCCCTCCTGTGCAGATCATTTCCCAGAAGGATGAGCACTGCTGGGTGGGAGAGCTGAATGGCCTGCGAGGTGAGGGCTTTGCTCTGGGGCACAGGAAGTGGGAGGGCTGAACTGTGAAGACTAGGGCACCCTCACCACCTCCTTACTTCCCTCCGGTTCCCTCCTCCGTGCCCCTGCCTGCCTGCAGGCTATGCCTGCTCTGTCTTTAGGGCCCTGGGAGGGAGGGTCAGACTGCTCTGGGCTGCTGCTCACAGGGCCTGCTTCTCTCACAGGCTGGTTTCCAGCCAAGTTCGTGGAAGTCCTAGATGAACGGAGCAAGGAGGTAAGAAGCACAGGACAGGGCCTGTGCCTGAGTGAGTCCCAGAGGACTCAGTGGGGCAGGTGGTGCTGGGCAGGGGCTTTTAAGACCCATTCCCCCTGGGCGGTGCCTGTGGCTCAGTAAGTAGGGCGCCGGCCCCATATACCAAGGGTGACGGGTTCAAACCCGGCCCCAGCCGGATGGTAGGTTCAAACCTGGCCGCGGCATAACTGCAACAAAAAAATAGCTGGGTGTTGTGGTGGGCGCTTGTAGTCCCAGCTACTCAGGAGGCTGAGGCAAGAGAATTGCCTAAACCCAGAAGTTGGAGGTTGCTGTGAGTTGTGATGCTACACCACTCTATCAGGGGCAATAAAGTGAGACTCTGTCTCAAAAAAAAGACCCATTCCCCCCATAGTACTCCATTGCGGGGGATGACTCAGTGACAGAAGGCGTCACGGATCTTGTGCGAGGGACCCTTTGCCCAGCCCTCAAGGCCTTGTTTGAACATGGACTGAAGAAGCCATCCCTGCTTGGAGGTGCCTGTCACCCCTGGCTATTTATCGAGGAGGTAAGTCGGTGGCTGTACTAATGTCCCACATCAGCCCTGCTATGTGCCACCATGGTACCCATGAAATCTTTCTGCCTGTGGCCCTGTGGAGGTGTGGAAGGAGTATAGGGTGGTGACATGTGCTCAGGCACACTTCCCGGTCCCTCCACTCATACTGGGTGCATCCCCCACAGGCAGCAGGCCGGGAGGTAGAGAGAGACTTCGACTCAGTGTATTCCCGCCTGGTTCTCTGTAAGACATACAGGTAACTGGGCCCTGCCTGATATTTCCTGACAGGGAAGGAGGGGCCTGACCCTGTACCCTCCCCACACACCAGCGTGCTTTGGTCCCTCCATAGGTTGGATGAAGACGGCAAAGTCTTAACCCCAGAGGAGCTGCTGTACCGGGTAAGCAGGGCCTGCTCTGCCAGACCCTAGAGACCTCTCCTGGTATGGCCAGTGGAGGTGCCTGAGTGGCAGCTGTGCCCTCCTCAGGCTGTGCAGTCTGTGAATGTGACCCATGACGCGGCACACGCACAAATGGACGTCAAGCTCCGCTCACTGATATGCGTGGGGCTCAAGTAAGTATAGAAAAGGGAGTGGGAGCATGGAATGGGGGTGGCCCAAGGGAACCCTAAAGGACAGAAACAGAATCACAGGGACTTTGGTCCTGCTTAAGGCCTCATCTTCCCTACAGAGGGTAGTCTGGGAGCTGCTGGGAAGGCAGGTTGGCGGCACCCATGGCCAGCAGAGCCAAAAGCAGCCACTGCCCCCACTCCTGGCCTTGTCCCCAGTGAGCAGGTACTGCACCTGTGGCTGGAGGTGCTCTGTTCTAGCCTGCCAACTGTGGAGAAGTGGTATCAGCCCTGGTCCTTCCTGCGCAGCCCTGGCTGGGTCCAGATCAAGTGTGAGCTCCGGTGAGGATGTAGCCTGGCTCCTGGGTGGGGGGCAGGGCCCCCTGAGAGTGATTAAAGTCTCACCCTCCACTCCTCCTCACCTCCAGTGTCCTCTGCTGCTTTGCCTTCAGCCTCTCTCAGGACTGGGAACTCCCTGTGAAAAGAGAGGTAGGTGGTGCGGGCTGCTCCCAGGCCCTGCAGCCAGCTTTCCCAAGGCTGTGCTGGTAGAGCTCCTCTACAGTTTCTGGGTGGCTGAGGTAGGGGCCCAGGTGCAGCTGGCACTAGCTGTAGCAGATGCTCTGGCCCCAATCACCTGGGGCTTTTTGGGGCATCCCCAGCCCAAGGCCTGTGAGGTGAGGGGCTGTCCCTGTGCACAGGAGGAAAAGCAGCCCCTGAAGGAGGGCGTCCAGGACATGCTGGTGAAGCACCACCTGTTCAGCTGGGACATAGATGGGTGACACACTTCTTCCAGCTGCCCTGTCACACTCCGGCCACCCCCCAACCCACTGGCTACCAAAGAGGCTGGGACTGGGTCTGAGGTGGCCCAGGCCCACCCCAAGCTGCAGGGTCCAGGAAAGATGCTCTAGGGCCCTGTGATCAGGAGATGAGGCTCTTCCACTTCTGGCTCCTCAGAGCATTACTGGTGGCAAGAATAGAAGCTGGGTGCCCAACTCAGCCTCTTCCTCCCAAGTGCCTGGGAGGTGGAGAGTTGGGGCTGTGCCTCACCAGGGTCCCTAGAAAAGCTCCAGGCCCCAACTAAAGTTTGTACCAAACAAAAACCTTTTGAGGAAAAGAGAGCTGCATCTGTGTGTGTCTGACTTTGCTCAGGAAGACGGGGAGAGGTAGTGACGAAAGGCAGATAAAGGCTCCTTGGCCTCTTTGGTTTGTAAATAAACCATCTTTGAGAAAGTTCCTCCTGTCGTCTGTCCAGTCAGGGCCACAGGAATGCCCAAGGTTCTGCTTCTGGGAATAGTCTAGAACAGGGCCAGCCTGGCTACTTCTTTCTGCCCAGGAGGCAGCTTGTGCTGGATGCTTTCCCCAAGTCAGCCTGATGGGGAGGGGGGCATTAGGGTCACTGCCTGTACCCCCAAAAGGCTGGGACAGATTAGGCCCAGGACCTAGCTGCCCCCTCCCTTTCATGGATTGAATGAAATGGACTATACAAGCCAGTGTTTTTGTTTTTATTTTAAAAAGTTCACACAGCTTCCCCACCTTTTCCCAGCACTGGTTTCGGTGACTTGTGTCCCTAACTCCTCTACAAATCAGGCCAGAATGTGGGGCCACCAGGGTAGGGGGATTCCACAGCTTCACAGCCACCTCTCAGCCCCATGGGAAGGTGGAGCTGGGCCCAAAGCCCCTCTGTCCCAGAGCCATGTTGGCTGCAGTGAGGCAAGGGGGACGGAATGTGGGTGGAGAGGCCCTGGCAGGATGACCAGGAAGCACCTCTGCCCTAGTGGCACTGGTAAGCATCCAGGAAGCAGGGCAGGTGGGGCACAGGCTGTGGCAGGGTGTCTACATGTCACACACACGTGATGGGTGGGTCAGGCAGCTGCATGCCAGGCAGGGCACCAAGCCATGTGGCACACAGCTCGAAGGTGCCTCTGCGTCCAAGACCTAGGAGCTGTGGCGCTGCAGGCCCTTCTGTGAGTAAGATGGGAGGGAGCTACACCCGCCTCCCATCCCCCCCACTATATGTATATATATGTATATTGATATATAATATAGAGGTATATACACCTGTACAGAAAAATTTTGCCACTAACCACTAAATGATTACACTACACCAAGACACTAAAATGGCAGGGAGCCCCCTCCCAGGAAGCCTCGGCGGGAGCCTGGGGTTGGCAGACAACAGGGAACGGGGAGGTAGAGGGCTGAAGTTTCTTCCCTTATGGCAAAGGGTAAGAGACAGGAAGGAGACTAATCCCTCAACCCCTATCAGCATGGGGCTCACCCACTTAGCCAAACTACAGCCAGGAGGTGTACCTTGGACCTCAAAAAAGGAGGTCAAATTGAAATGGCCCAACCCTGTCCAGGTCTCTAAGACCCCAGCATGGGACCCAGAGCTTCTCAACATCTGCTCGCCTCTGTCCTGGGTAAGACTGCACCAGGAGTAGGGACCCCCTCTGTTCCAGCCCCCTAGGGAAGGAAAAAAAAAAGACTGATTGTCAAGACAACCACAAGGAGAGGCTGAATCAAGTAGGTAAGGGCCACCTTGCCAAAGTTCTATGGCTTCCCAATTTCCAGCCCCTTCCCCACACCCAGTCTCTGGAGCTAGAGAACTACAAACAGGAATCCCAGTGCAGCTGCAAATCGTGGCCATCAAGGAAGTCCGTGGAGAAGAGGCTGGGGGCTGTGGTAGTGAGGGGGGCCAGGCTTAGCACAGGACCGCCGGACGACAGCTCTAGCCAGTCCATGCTGTCCAGGTGCCCATCAGCCAGGTTCAGGCCCATGCTGCTGCTAGGCTCAGGGGCAAAGTGCAATTCCGAGGTGTCCATAGGTGACGGGGGGTGGTCCAGGATGGCAGAGCTGCTCAGCATCTGGCTATGGAGGTCATCAATGAGGGAAAGGGGCTCTGACCCTTCGTGCCCACTGGTCAGCAGAGGCAGCCCTGTGCTGCTCTCCAGGAAGTCCTCCAGGCGACCAGGGAGGGAGGGGGGGCTTGGCGGAGATGGGGCAGCCTGGGGTAGCTCGGCAGAAGGTGAGGGCTGGGCAGCCAAGGGGGACCCACAGGCTGCTGTCGAGGGTGGCTTATCCTTCCCTGGCAGGGATGGTGGCTCCTTGAAATCTGCTGAAATTTCTGCCAATCAAAGACAGTGAGTGGAGGTTAGAAACCAGGCTTGAATATCTATATGCAAAATGATGAAGGTGGACCCTAAACTCATACCATATCCAAAATAAAATGGATCAAAGACCTAAATGTAAACGCTAAAACTATAAAACCAGAAAACATAAAAGCAAATTGATTTCTTGGTTATGACACCAAAAGTACAAGTGGACAAATTGGGCTACCTCAAAATTTTAAAGTTTTCTTTTTTTAAAATTTGTGTACCAAGGGAGTACAAAGCCACAGAACGGGAGAAAACGTATGCAAATCATATTTGATAAAGGATTAATATCCAGAATACATAGCAAGTTCCTAATATGTAACAACTCAATTTGAAAATGGGCAGGACCGGGGTACAGGTGAATCTTTCTAAGAGTAGAATGTGAACGTTTTAAAGCAATAACTGAGAAAATGACATGAAGGCTGTGTTGAGCAGTTTGATGGAAGTATTTCAGATTGCATGTGAAAACCCCACACTGTACCCCAGAAGTGCATTAATGTACATAGTTACCATTCAATAAAAAAAAAAAAAAAAGAAAAAGAAAATGGGCAGGACTTAGAATAGATATTTCTCCAAAGATACACAGACAATAGCACATGAAAAGATGCTCAACATGACCATGAGGAAACACAAATCAGACCACACTGAGATACCACCTTAAACCCACCAGAGTAGCTACTATAAAAAAGCAGAAAATGAGAGGATATGGGGAAATTGGAACCCTTGTACAAGGCCAGATGGTGGTCATGTAAAACGGTACAACTACTATGGAAAATAGTACAGGGGTTACTCAAAAACTAAAAAAATAGAACTACCTTGTGAACCAGCAATCCTACTTCTGGATATATATCCAGAATTGAAAGCAGTGTCTTAAGATACACCCATGTTCCCAGCATTATTCACAATAGTGACATGTGCAAATATACCCAGGTCCACTGATGGATAAATGGATGAATCTTGAGGATATTATGCAAAGTAAAAGAAGCAAGTCACAAAAAGACAAATACTTCATGATTGCACTTGTATGAGGTGCTCAGAGTAGTTAATCATAGCAACAGCCAGAAATTGGGGCAAGGCAAGAATGGGGATTTTTTTTTTTTTTTTGAGACAAAGTCACCCTGGATAAAGTGCCATAGTGTCATAGCTCACAGCAACCTCAAACTCTAGAGCTTAAGCAATTCTCTTGCCTCAGCCTCCCAAGTAGCTGGGACTACAGGCGCCGCCACAACGCCTGGATATTTTTTTTGGTTGTAGTTGTCGCTGTTTGGCAGGCCCAGGTTGGGTTCAAACCCTCCAGCTCCGGTGTATGTGGCTGGCACCCTAGCCGCTGAGCTACAAGCACCGAGCCAGCCTCACTCACAGCAACCTCAAACTCATGGGCTCAGGTGATCCTCTTGCCTCAACCTGCTGAGTAGCTGTGACTACAGGTGCCCACCACAACTCCTAGCTTTTTCTATTTTCAGTAGAGACAGGGTCTTGCTCTTACTGAGGCTGGTCTTGAACTCCTAAGCTCAAGTGATCCTCTTGCCTCAGTCTCCCAAAGTGGTGGGATTAAAGGCATGACCCACTGCACCTGGCCAAGAATGGGGAATTATTTAATGGGTATGGCATTTCAGTTTTACAAGGAGAAATTACTGAAATTTAGATGTGATGATGACTGCACAACACTCTGAATGTATCTAATGCCACTGGACTGTGTTCTTAAAAATGGTTAAGATGGTTAATTTTATGTGTATTTTGCCACCATTTAAAAATTGGAGAAAAAGTGAGTGAAGAATCCAAATAGACATTTCTCCAAAGAAGATACTCAAATGGCCAATAAGCACATGCAAATATGCTCAACATGACTGACTGGTCATTACAGAAAAATGCAAACCACACCAACAAGACACCACATCTATCAGGATGAAAAACTGAAATAGGAATGTTGGTGACAATGTGGAAAAACTGGAACCCTCACCAATGCCAGTATGAATGTAAAATTCCACTTTAGCTGTATAAAGTGGAAACTATCTGGTGATTCTTTAAACAGTTAAACATAAAATTACCACATGATCCTGCAATTCCAGTCCTATACATATACCCAAAAGAACTGAAAGCAGAGGCTCAAACCAATACTTGCACACCCATGTTCACATCATCATCCTCTATAGTTAAAAGAGCAGAGGCCAGGTGCAGTGGCTCACACCTATAACCCTAACGCTGAGAGGCTGAGGCAGGTAGATTACCTCAGCTCACAGGTTTAAGACCGGCCTGAACAACAGCGAGACCCCATCTCTAAAAGAATAGCCAGGCGTTGTGGCAGGCACCTGTCATCCCAGCTACTCAGAGGCTGAGGCAAGAGGATCACTTGAACCCAAGAGTCTGCGATTGCTGTGAACTGTGACACCACAGCACTCTACCTAGGGCAACAAAGTGAAATTCTGTCTCAAAAAATAAATACGATAAAAAAAAGTTAAAACCAGGAACAACCCTGGTGTCCATCAACAGGAAAATGGAAAACAAAATGTGGCATATCCAGACAAAGGAACATTGTTCAGCCATAAAAAATGAAATTCTGAAACATGCTTCCACATAGATGAACACTGAGGACATTATGCTAAGGGAAATAAACCAGTCACAGAAATACCAGGATTATAGGCTAAGTGTGGTGGGTCACTCTTAAAATCTTAGCAGTCTGTGAGGCTGAGGCAAGTGGAGAACTTGAGCTCACCAGTTTAAGACCAGCCTGAGCAAAAGTGAGACCTCATCACTAGTAAAAATAGAAAAACTGAGGCAAGAGGATCACTTGAGCCCAAGAGGTCGACGTTGCTGTGAGCTATGACACCATAGCACTCCAGCCAAAGCAACAGCTTGAGGGTCTGACTCAAAAAAAAAACGACCAGAATTGTATAATTCCTCTTATACGAGGTCCCCAGAGTAATCAAATTCACAGACAGTAGAATGAGGGTTGCTGGTGGGAGGGAAGAATGGGGAGTTACTATCTGATTATACAAGGTTTTAGTTTAGAATGTTGCAAAAATTCTAGAAATGGATACCATACCAGTGATGGTTAATGTATTTAATATCACTTTTTTTTATTTATTTTGAGACAAAGTCTTAATCTGTAGCCCTGGCTAGAGTGTCTTAGGATCATAACTCACTACAACCTCAAACCCCCATGTTAAGCAATCCTGCCTCAGCCTCCCGAGTAGCTGGGACTACAGGTGCTGCCACAAGGCCTGGTTAATTTTTATATATGTGTCATATATATGTACACACACTATTTTTATAAATACATACATAGATATGCATATATATATTTGAGATAGTCTCATTCTGTCACCCTGGGTAGAGTGCCTTGTCATTACAGCAACCTCAAACTCTTAGGCTTATGTGATCCTCCTGGCTCAGCCGGGATTAGAGGAGTGCCGTGATACTTGGCTAGTTTTTGCTTAGGCTGGGGTCTCTGTAACTCCTGAGCTCAAATGATCCTCCTGCCTTGGCCTCCCAGAGTGCTAGAATTATGGGCATGAGCCACGGTGCTGGCCTTAACTCTACATTTTAAATTGTACATTTAAAATGGTTACAATGACAAATTTTGTATTATTGTATCAGACACAGACAAAAAGAATTATATAGCCCTGATCCTCTAGTCTGCTGCCTCTTGTCCCAGCTAACTGCTCTCAACAGGGTAGAAACAGTGCTGCCTACCCGGCCACCACTACCTACCCCATTCAAATACTTGCCACTCTGTACATCCCAGCCACCTCTCTAGCCACTTTTCAGCATCCCTTTGGTGCAGGCAACATGCACATCTCCCTTTCTCTGCCTAGAGTTCAAGGCCTTCTCCCTTTCCCTTTGGGAACAATCTCTCCTCTCTGTGGTAGCCACATTCTTCCCACAGTTGTCTTGACTCTGGAACCTCCCAAACTTCTCCCAGACTCTCAGGCTTGTCCCAAGCTCCACCCAGCCGGCCCTCACAGAGTGAGTCCCACACCTGCCATCTCTGTGCCACCTGCACAGGTTAAAGATGCACCTCAGGCCCATCGACCTAAGGCTTGAGAATCCCTGACCCCAAGGATGTCAGCTAATGAACCCTTATTTTTTTTAGTTCAGCAAGCTAAGAATAAGCTTTTTTTTTTTTTTTTTTAATAGAGACAGAGTCTCACTTTATGGCCCTCGGTAGCGTGCCATGGTGTCACAACTCACAGCAACCTCCAGTTCCTGGGCTAAGGCAATTCTCCTGCATCAGCCTCCCGAGTAGCTGGGACTACAGGCACCTGCCACGATGCCCAGCTATTTTTTCTGTTGCAGTTCGGCTGGGGCCAAGTTTGAACCCGCCACCCTCAGTATATGGGGCCCTACTGAGCCACAGGCGCCGCCAGAATAAGCTTATTTTAAACTGAAATAAAATTCACATAACATAAAATACACCATTTTAAAGTGTGCAGTTCCCTGGCTGAGCCCTCACCTTCCTGCACCACCTTTTTACTTCCAAGTTAGAGCACACAGTGGGAGCGCCCAGCACCAGCCCCTCCTCCTGCAGAGGAATCTGCAGACACAGCTGTGCTGACCTCAGAGCTCTCCACATGCAGCCTCCACAGCAACTGACAGACAGATTCCCATTGCCCTGAATGGGCCCTGACTGGGCTTGTCCTTTGCTGCCTTGACTGTCCTTGGCTTCTAGGACATCACACTCTGCCCACTGCTCAGCTGCACCCTGCCTGTCCCCTCCTCTGTCCTTGGCTCCTCTACCTTATACCTTGCAACTCACAGCTCCTCTGCCAACCTGTGCAGAACAACCCCCCCCACACACACACACACCCAGCTCCTACTTATAGCCCAGAACTCTCTCCCAAATGCCTCTATCCTCATAAATCCTTCGTTTCAATGACTCCTGACATTTGATCACATCTGATGCTGTGCCACTATGTCTCCACATGACCTTGGAGTCATCCCTGGGTGCTCTCTCCCTTAGGACATCTTACTGGCTCTCTCCAAAACACACCAGGCTCCAGCCCCTCTTCCCCTCTCCACTGCCTTTCCAGGTTCCTTGCTTCCCAGCTATCAAGTCAAAGCCCCCTACCCTGGTGCCCAGGAGGTCCTATGTCACCTGCCAGATCTCTGCCTTGTTCCCTTCCTCTTCCCTCACTCTCTGTGCCTAGAATATTCATAAAGGAGGAGACCCCCGAGCTGAGGACCTGCACTGGGGGCCTTCCCGAGGGACACAGTAGCCACCCTGTGGCCTGCTCAGTGAGACCTGCCCCTGCACTCCCACCATCTTTCTCCCTCCCCTGCACTTTTCTCCTAGCATGGCTACCCCGTGACATGCCATACAATTTGCTCGGGTTTTTGCTGTCCACCTCCCAGCAGTTCTCAACCTATTGGTTGCGACTCCTTTGGGTAAGGTGACCAGATTTTAACATTGGTAAAGCAGGACACCATTTGGGGGGGGGGGGCGCTGACAACAATGCAAACTTTGATAAGCAGTTCTCGATAATCAGTTCTCAACAATTATTTGTTATTATTAACGATTAACATTATAAAATTAACAAAAATAATATAAAACCCATATCATGGCAAAATAGCCACGTAGCAGCCAAAAACCATATATTCCCTTCCTGTTCTCCTGTGTTCCCTAGCTTGTCGTGCATTCTTTCCAAAAATTGGGGCTTTTAAAAAACGCCACAGGACACAGGACAAATTGTTAAAAATCGGGACTGTCCTGCCAAAAGTGGGATGTCTGGTCACCTTACCTTTAGGGGTCTCCTGCCTATCAGATATTTACATTACAATTCATAACAGTAGCAAAATTAGTTATGAAGTAGCAACAAAAATAAATTTAAGGTTGGGGGTCAACACAACATGAGGAACTGTATTAAAGGGTCACAGCATTAGGAAGGTTGAGAACCACTGAGCTAGACAGAAAGCTCGTGACAGAGGTGGAGACCTCTCAGCAGGTCCCCCAGTCCCAGGCCTTGGAGACAGGCTACTCTGAGGCTACAGTATGCACAATGCCTGACGAGGCCTCTCACCCACTGAAGAATCAAGAAATAAAAACAAATTAACCGGCTCAGCGCCTGTAGTCTCGGCTACTTAGGAGGCTGAGGCAAGAGATCGCTTAAGCCTAGGAGTTTGAGGTTGCTGTGAGCTAGGACACCACGTCACTCTACCAAGGGCAACACAGTGACTCTGTCTCGAAACAAAACAACCAACCAACCTAAGGCTAGACACCCATGAACAGAGAAGGTGGGTAGGGAGGCTGCAGGGTCTGGGGTTACCTCCACTCTGAATAAGAATGTCAAACAGGTCATCCATCTGCTGGCTCGAGGAACCATTTTCCTGTAGAACAAAGAATAAATACGAAAATCTTCAACAGTTGGCCCCCAACCTGGTCTAGGACCAAGGCTGGCCTCTCTCTCTACTCCTGAGTGGACAGTTGGATCCACAGTGCCCAAGGGCTATGCTCAGACCCCCAGAGCCTAGACTCACCCCATCAGACCAGATTCTCATACCCTATCCCCTAATGGCCCACTCCCAATCCCTGTCCCTGCAGTGTGACTGAGGGAGCCACAGTCTGGCATCCTTGGGCAGTCACCCACTCAGACACACCCAGGCGGCCTTCCTCACCTGCTGTTTGGGCTGGTTCATGGCTTCCTCATACCCAGGCGGCTCCTTCTTCAGCAGAGAAGGGGGGCTCCCAAAGAGAGGCTGCAGTGGGTGCTCCAGGTCCATCTGTGTGGGTGGGCCGGGGGCTGGAGAACCAGGCTGGGACAAGGGCTGGACAGGAGAACAGGAAGAGGACATGTGGCTGAGAGGCTTGGGTTGCACACCTGCCCTGTCAGGGGAGGGGGACATAGGGCCAGGGCACTTAGGAGGATGAGGCAGGAGTTGCCTGGCTTCCCAGATAAACCAGCTGTACGAGCTGCACTAGCTTTGGGGAAACATCTGTGGAAGCCATTGGGAAAAAAAAGACATAGGATGGGGGGTGGGACTGGTCCCTAATCAATAAGGGGGTGACTGACTGCCAAGGGTTTGGGGAGAGAGCAGGAACTCTGCGCTGATCACGCTCTGAGATTTCTTCCTCCTGTCCTGAGGTGCCTGGTTCTTGTCACTGTCCTTCCAGCCCCAAATTCTACAGGGCTAAGAGACTACACACACCCTAAGAGCTGCCTCACCTCCAGCCTAGTGAGCCAGCTGCTGAGGCCTTGGCAGGAAACAGATGGCTCTCAGGGGAAGACCCCAGGCTCAATCCTGGGCCAGACAGCCAACCCCACAGCCTTTCCCCAGGGCAGCAGGGCACCTTGCTGGCCATCACTGCATCCCCCACTCCCATGCAGCAGCACTGAGAGGGTCCCAGCCTAGCTGGGGGCTGCTTAAGGGCCCTGCTCCTGCGATATAGGACCTTTCTGGTATCAACAACTATAGAAGTGGATGGCTCCACCCTCAGGCCCTTTAACTTTCCTGAGTCTCAGCAGCTGTCTTGGTGAGAAGGGGATGATACTCCCTCACTCTGGAGTGTTAGAAGGAAGGTTAAATGAAGCAAGTATAAAATATCCAGCATGAGAGGATGCCTGGTACTCCATAGCTGCCATGAGAAGGATCTTCCCACCCTCTGGGCCCTTCCCTGCCCTTTCCCCAGTCCAGGTACCTGCTGGGGGCTCCCACTGGACAGGCCAGGGCTATCTGCATTCTTATTGGTCACGGTGAGGACAAGGTGGGTCCCTGTGGAGTCGGTGATAAGGGTGGGAGGTGCGACTCCCTTGATGAGGCCGGGGCCCTGGGAGCCCAGCAGCAGCTGGGGGACAGGAACCTGCTCGGGCTCAGGCAGCACGACCTCCTGCTTCACCATCACAGCAGAGGTCCCAGGGGCTGGGGTACAAGTATCTATGTGGTTGGTAGTTGAGGCTGCCAGGGTAGGGGTGAAGGGGTGAATAGGGCCCAGAGGCTGTCGGCTCAGCTGGCAGCTAGAGAAGCTATTCTCCTGCTTCACTGGGGTGCAGAGTGCAGTGGGGGCAGGGGCAGGCTGCTGGGCCCGCTTTTCCTGCTCCAGCTGCAGCCGCAGCCGCTCCACTAGCTGCTGCTTCTGCCGGAGCATGCGGGTCAGTTCCTCGATCTGCTTGTCCTTCTCCTGCAGCATCTGGTCCTTGTCACGACCCTCCAGCTCTGCCCGCCCCCCAGGGCTCAGGCAACAAGACCCAGCTCGGGGGCCCTCCTCCTTCACGAAGATCTGCAGTGGCGAGGCCTGCAGGGTGAGCTGTGTCAGGGGTGACGTTACCATCTCTCCAAATGTGTCCCCAGGGGTGGAGTTCTCATCACCCGTGCTAAGCAGTGAACGCTCTGAGGGAGTGGGAGACACAGGAGGTGTGGAGCCCGTGCTGCCAAACTTCACCACTCCATTGCTGGTCACCGTGGCCACTACCACCTCAGTTGGGGCCAGGCCAGCTGCCACCAAGGCTGGTCCTGTGCTCAGCCGGGCCGCTGGGAAGGCCACCACTACCTCACCAGCCTTGGGCAGAATAGAGGTGGTGGCAGGGGCCTTGGGGGCTCCTGGAGCAGGGCTAATTTGATCTTGGTAGGTGCGCAGGCGCTCGATCAGCTCTGTCTTAGTGCCTGACACAGGCAATGACCGCAGCTTCAGCTCCTGCTTCAGTTCTGCCACCTGCAAAGGGTTAAGAGTTAGAGCTGCAAGGAGATGAGTGGCAGCTGGACAAAGGGAACTGGGTCCACGTAGGATGATAGTCTGGGGAGATTGGGAGGGACCAGTATTTTACAAGTTAGGCCTCATCTGTCTGAGCCCCACTGGCCATTTTCTTCTCTTTTTTTTTTTTTGAGACAGAGTCTATGTCACCCTTGGTAGAGTGCCGTGGCATCACAGCTCACAGCAACCTCAGACTCTTGGGCTTAAGTGATTCTCTTGCCTCAGCCTCCCAAGTAGGTGGAACTACAGACACCTGCCACAACACATAGCTATTTTTATTGTTGTTTAGCTGGCCTGGGCCGGGTTCGAACCCGCCAGCCTGAGTGTATGTGGCCAGCACCCTTCCCACTGAGTTATGGATGCTGCCCCATTTTATTCTATTAGAGATGGGGGTCTCACTATGTTGCCCAGGCTGGTCTCAAACTTCTGGCCTCAGCCTCCCAAAATATGGCAATTACAGGTACATGCCACTATACCCTGCTTCACTTTAGACATATTAACTCCCCTAATCCTCCAACCCATGGAACCTCCAACCAGCACTTTGCCTTTCACTGTCCTTGCTCCAACAGGAGCCTATTTAAAATGCCCCCCCCCCCAAACAGGCAACAGGATCTGGGCACTTCACACTCACAATGTCCCCAGTGCTCCAGAATGGTTCCTGGTGCTCACTAAATATTTAATTGAATGGACTAAAATTTACAGATAAGAAAACAGCTCATGGGCAGCGCCTGTGGCTCAGTGGATAGGGCGCAGGCCCCATAAACTGAGGGTGGCAGGTTCAGACCCAGCCCCGGCCAAACTGCAACAAAAAAATAGCTGGGTGTTGTGGCGGGCACCTGTAGTCCCAGCTACTCAGGAGGCTGAGGCAAGAGAATTGCCTAAGCCCAGAGTTGGAAGTTGCTGTGAGCTGTGTGACACCACAGCACTCTACAGAGGGCGATAAAGAAAAACTCTGTCTCTACAAAAAAAAAAAAAGAAAGAAAGAAAGAAAGAAAGAAAGAAAACAGCTCATCAAAGTTACATATCTTTTTCAAGATCACAGAGCTAGTGAGGGGCTGGGCATGACAGCCTCACACCTGTAATCCTAGCACTCTGGGAGGCCAAGGCAGGTAGACTGCTGGAGCTCAGGAGTTTGAGACCAGCCTGAGCAAGAGCAAGACCCTGTGTCTACTAACAAGAGAAAAAATTAGCTGGGTATCATGGTGGGTGCCTGTAGTCCCAGCTACTTGGGAGGCTGAGGCTAGAGGATTGTTTGAACCCAAGAATCTGAGGTTGCTTATGAGCACTCTACCCAAGGTGACAAAGTGAAACTCTGTCTCAAAAAAAAAAAGAAAAAAAAATAGAGCTAGTGAGTGGCCAGACTTAAACCCAGGTCTAATGGACTCTGAAGAGCCTGTGCCCAGCAGCCTCCATGAGTGCTGTGTCTTGCCAGGACCCAGATCATAACACAAGAGGGGCCAGCATGGTTCAAAAGATAAGTTCTCAAGGGAGAATTGGGCCCATTCCATTTTCTGACTGAGGCAGAGAAAACAGGCAAGGCATTGGACATGGCCTACTCTCTAAGGCCCCAAGACATGAGCCACTCTCTCCTTAAGCAGACACAGCATCTGACCAGCAGGTTCAGCTGGGAATTAAGTGGCAAAGTGGAAAGGTGGCCCTGTCTACCACTGACTAGGTCTGTGACCCTGGAAAAGCTCCTCTTCTCATCAGCCTCAGCTTGCTCTTTCTCAAGGGGGATGGATCCCTATTCCTCACACAGTACAGAGGTCAGAAAGGGCAGGGATATAGCACTGCTGGCTCTGTCTCAAGGCCCTGGACAGACACTGGCTATGTAATAATGACAGTGACTACCACGAGGATGCCAATAATGCTCTATGACCAGGCAAGCCTGGACCAAGTTCTAAGGTGCGCCTGTCCAATGGAGAACAGAGCCTGGAGAACAGAGCCTGGAGCCCTGCTGCTCTGCCTTCCATGATGGTGGCTCCTGGGCTAGCTTCCTTCCCCACTTATAAACCTGCACCATGATAGCTGGGAGAGGCCAGCTGGCAGTGGCTTAAATGTTCCTGTGGGAAGGGAAGAGCCACCTACCTTCATGTCATCAAGGTTGGCCGGCAGAACTCCCGGCTTTCCAGTCATTGAGGTGCTGTTCTGACGTGCCAGCCCACTGGGCCCAGGGGTACCCGTGCTGGAGCTGCTATTATTAGTGGAGAGGCTGCGGACCTGGGGTGCCCCACTGCTTCCCAGAACCTCACCTGCTGACCTAAAAGGTAGAAATGGGTGCCATCAAACAGCAGCCTTGGCCTCTGCAGGCAGCAGCCCTGACTATGGGCTACAGGGCTGGATACAGACGGCACTGAGTGAGTGTCCTGCACACCGGCCAGAGAGGCCCTACCTGGGGACCTCCCAAGGATCCAGACCAATGTGCTCTACGTTCTGGGCTATCCCCCAGCAGACTAGGCATCTACCTGTATTGGGGCAGCTACAAGCGGGCAGAGGACAGGCAGTGCGGGGAGGGAGGGACTCCTACTTTGGTGGGGCGGGCAGGATGGTCTGGTAGTTGTAGTGCTGCTGCTGCTGCTGGTTGAGGATCTGCAGCTGCAGGAAGAGCTGCTGCTGCTGCAGGATCTTGGCATAGGAGGAATCCATGGGTGGCACCCCCTTGTCCTGCTTTTGGTCCGGGGGAATATACTGGTGATACTTGAGCTTCTTCACCTTTGGCTTCAGCTCCTTGGCCTTCTTGCTGCGCTGTGACTTCTCACTGGCAGACTTGGGTTGGCTTTGCTGAGGGCACAGAAGATGGTGCCATCAGGGGACAGTCTCAGGCTTCTCAGGCTACTCCCCACCAGAAGCAGAGGCTTCTTTGGTGCCTGGAAATTTGCCAGGGAGAGGGCTGGATAACAGAGGGGGCTCCTCTTAACCCATCTTAAAAAAACTTCTAGTCCTGGCCAGGTGGGGTAGCTCTCACCTATAACCCTAGCACACTGGGAGACCGAGGCAGGTGGATTACTTGAGCTCAGGAGTTCAAGACCAGCCTGAGCAAGAGTCAGACCCCATCTCTACAAAGCTGGGCATTGAGACTGGTGCCTATAGCCCCAGCTACTTGGGAGGCTGAGGCAAGAGGATCACTTGCGCCCAGGAGCTTGAGACTGCTGTGAACTATGATACCATGGCACTCTACCAAGAGTGACAGAGTAAGATTCTGCCTAAACAAAACAAAACAAAAACAACTTCCAACCTGGAGAACAAATCCGCTGAATGTACAGGCACAGAGATCACGTGACCCTGAGCAGAGTGTGGCCACCAAGAAGGGAAAGCTGACGGAACACGGCCCGGCAAACCAGGCATTGTATAAAGCCTTCTCCATCCAAGCCTCTCACAAATCCTGCCTAGCAGGGAACTGTCATGTCTACTTATAAATAAGGAAACAGGTTCACAGAACTTACTTGCCCAAAGAGACATGGTGATTTTTTTTTTTTTGGAGACAGAACCTCAAGCTGTCCCCCTGGGTAGAGTGCTTTGGCATCACAGCTCACAGCAACCTCCAACTCCTGGGCTCAAGGGGGTCTCCTGCCTCTGCCTCTCAAGTACCTGGGACCACAGGCGCCTGCCACAATGCCTGGTTATTTTTTGATTGCAGCCGTCATTGTTGTTTGGCGGGCCCAGGCTGGATTCAAACCCCACCACCTTAGGTGTATGTGGCTGGCGCCTTAGCCACTTGAGCTATAGGCGCTGAGCCAAGACATGGTGATTTTGATCCAACCCGGGACTCTAAAAGCTCCTGTTTATGCCCCAAACGTGCCCCCAAAGACTTCTGGCTGGCACAACCACTGAACTTGGAGGGTCAGAAGACCTAGACCGACCAAGAAGAGCCAGTGGGCTGTGCCTGGGGGCAGGGCTGTCCGGGGAAGGGTGGGTTGGATGAGTGGCAAGAATTACCAAAGGAGGGCTCGGCGCCTATAGCTCAACCGGCTAAGGCGCCAGCCACGTACACCTAAGGTGGCGGGTT